TTTGTAGAAAATGCATTTTCTTAGAATTTAGACCTCATTTATCACTATACCCATGAAATATTGACATTTTAGATTATTTTTAAAGATGTACCAAATTTTCAAAGAGAACAGATACTAATATTGTCGATATAGTTCGCTTATTTCATTAAAAAATAAAAAAACTTTAAATATTTTTTTGTTAAAAAGGACCATTTAATATGATCCCAGTATTCAAACTACATTAAATCGACTGTTTACATTGATTAATAATAATTGCTCCAAAAAACTGAATTTTGTGTGAGTATTAGACAGTGTGGTAAAAAGTAACACTTTATAAATTTTATTTTATTTTTTGACGAATGCTTATTTATAAAAACAGAGACGTTCATTTTCATAACTTATTATTATATTTATTTCTGAACCAAACTCACATTTTTATTTAGAATACTTTATTAATTAAAACAATTTAAAAGTATGTAATTAACTAATGTTTGGTCGGAAATAATGGTGGTATATTTAATTGGTATACCCTTTCACAAAGATTTAAATAGTTTTTTTGTATACCAATGGGCTTGCAATACATTTTGTACATATATGTTGCTTTAAAAAAATCTGAAATGTCAATATTCCAAGGGTATAGTGATAATTGAGGTCTAAATTATAAGAAAATGCATTTTCTACAAAGTGAGATGAGCAAAAATATAGTGTGATAAACCTCAATCACTTAATCACCTTTTATTTCAATCGTAGAATCCAAAATAGAATAAATATACAGGGTACCCTGCACATTAAAAAAAATACAACTATAATATTTTTACTTATTTGGGACACTCTGTATCTTGTAAAATATTTTTAAATTGTAGCTCTATTAGTCCTTCCTTCAACGAACCAAAACCAATTTGTAAAAAATCTAATCGTTTGAAGCCATACAATACCTGCAGCGTCGTATGTGGTGAACAACCCTGTATAATATATCTTTATATTTCAGCGTCTCTGATTTACTGCTTGAAACATCCCAAATGAAAGTTGGGCGTAAATAAATGCCAATTTTCACTTATTCCCCATTAATGAACAATTGTGAACTACTTTAAAATTATATTAACATTTTAAATTTCAATGTTTTTTATTGCAGTTGTAAAATTCATATATATAATAATAAAGTTTTTATTATTTTATATATAAAATATTGTGTTATTAGGTTAAAATAACTATTTTATTTTGTTATTGCTAATAGAGGGAATCTCATTCGCCGAAGACGAACAAGGTTTGCAACAAGATATTGAAACTGCATTTACTAATACACCTAAAATTTGATATTTTATTTAATAAAATAAAGTAAAAAACGCTTATTAATTTTTTAATCGTTATTCTTATGTGAAAAGCCATCTTATAATAAAAAATTATGCCGGTTTTTATTTCATTTCGCTATCCTCCCTCAACTTATTTTTTTACAATGCGACAAATATGTAAGATGTAAATTTTATTATTATTTTATTTTAATTTATTATACAATTATTGTTATTTCCTTAAAATACTTTCGGTCGATCGGCACGCCACTGGAAATTGATCTCAAACGTCTAATCTTTGTACACACCTACATTGTTGCCATCGAGCAGATACCCCTATTTCCTTCTCTATCCATTCTCTCTTGCACTCGTTGATTTTCGCAAACCAATGTGTGATGAAGCTTTTAAGTTTCAAGTGAATTGATCATTGTATCTCCCGAGTTGAATATCTTTGCATTTGACCAAATGTACTACCAGTCATGCAAAACCTGGACACTTAAACGGACATCGTTAGAAACTGCAGGTCGCACAAAGCTCCAATGGAATGAAATATGTTGGAATAACCAAGAAAGACCGTAAAAAAATAGAGTGGATACGACAAAAGACCCAGGTAATAGATAACATCCAGAATCAAATCCCTCAAGTGGCAATGGGCAGGACACCTGGTAAGAAGGACGAACAACAGATGGACCACAGGAACTATAGCATGGTATCCAAGAGGAATTAAGAGACCTAGAAGAAGGCCAAACTTGAAACGGGACCATGATATTAGGAAATTAGTAGGGATAAGTTGGGCCCGTATAGCCAACAATAGCCCACAATGGGTCCAACTACAAAGATACTCTCTTTGGGGTTGTCTCTCTTAAATGTGTGAGGGAGGCTACACCATAATTGTGGAATGGTTGAATAACTTGAAAATGAGGATAACAACGAAACGTAAATTTGTTGTCACTTTAATATTTTTTTGCCGGTAAAGTGTCGAAAGGTTGTTAGATGACATTTGGTAATTACATGAAATACTCAATATTGTGTTGGTCAAAAGTTGTAGAAAAAAATAAACTTTAAGTTCTTAAAGTTAATGTCTCATTTTTTCTTTTAAGTTAATGTCTCATTTTTGCTGTTGGACGAGGCCAACTTTGTTTATGCGGATTCTGAATCGCGGTTCTGAGCCATCTAATGACCTTAGCGAGGGTCTAAATTGACTCACCGATATCATCCACCCTCCAACCGATCTGAATGAGCAGTGCTTCTCAGGGATTTTTCAGAGAATGATTCTTCAGAAAATCGATCTTTTGATATGCAATTTTCGGTTTTTTGAATCGATTAATCCAAAAACCGATTTTATATAGAATCGATTCTTTCAGATAGAAATCGAATCGTCATGCAACCCGAATTTTATCCTCAATTTCAGAAGATATCATTAAGTACGTAATAAAAAGAAATATGTAATTTTAAAGTAATTCTACTGTTTAATTATTTAGAATTTCATTTGGTTTTTAGGTTCTAAGTTTTGAAGTTTTACGTTACACTGCCACCTAAGTAATTTTGCTTGCTGTTGTATTATTCAGAATTGTACCTTTTCTGTATAATTTGTTTTATATCATTTTGTGTAAAAAAGTCATGAAAAAATAGAAATATACATTTTTAATTTATTGCGAAAACGGAAAATCAGAGTCAAAACTTGAATTAAAAAAAGATCGATTGCGATTTCTCTTGTAATCGATTCCTTTACAGAATAAAATCGATTCCTTTACAGAATCGCACATTCCTAATGCTTCTCAATAGATTTATTCTCATCCATTGGAACAACAGCACCACACAGTTTTTCTGTAGTTTATCTGTCTAAATATACACATCATCCATTGTTCTGAAGAGGTCACATTAGTTTTTTAAAAAACCCTGAAAAAGAAAAAAATACCTTTAATACCTAAAATTTTTTGTGCAGACACCCTGTATAAACATAAACATAAAAATAACTAAAATTCGTTAAAAAGAAATTAAATTGATTGTTCGTCTACCAATTTCTGCTAACAAAAATAAAACTTACTCCCATCAGTTTTTAGATTTTCAATTACGTTTGTTTTTCCTTGTTATTAATTTTGTTTTCTCCAAACAGAAAACACTTTTCTCGAAAAAATATAGAAGGAAAAAAGATAGAATCGCTCTTTTCAAGCGAAAGGTCCTTTGCGGTACTCGACCCAGTGAAAACAAACCAAATAAAATGTCAAATTGGTTTTGAGTCTATTTGAGAATAGTCTAAAGGCCTAACTTGTTATCGAGAAAAAAGGACTTACTCTTGAACGATTAAAAAATTCTCTATAAATAGAAAAAGTTTGAGTTAATACAATTATTTCTTAAAATTTTTATTATAGATTTCAGTTTTTTCTTATTCTAGTGGTATGGTAGTAGTTAAAATTACTTTGAATGTCTTAAAAGGTGCAAAAATAACATTTGAGTTTGTTATTTTCTTGCTGAAATTGTTGATTTGGTTTCAAAAGTTTGGCACAATTATTGAGGGGCTACGGGGGGCTTAGCCCCCCATATGACTGGTGCGGTTCGTATAAAATAAGTTTTAACCTCAAATAGTGACTTAAGCGACTCTCCCTAAAACCACCCCACCACCCCCACAAAAGACTTGAGACCCCCTAAAAGTATGTGTTTAGTTGCGCATCTGCCTGATGGTTGCAGGTAGGCGTTTTTTAGCACTCGCTATATTATTAAAAAACGCTAATTTGTATTTTACATAGGAATATTACACCTCTGCAGTGTACTTACTTCATATACGGCGTCAACGGCCAAGAGTGTTCTACCAGCGTCTCTTTCACGAGTAAAATAATTTATAAGCTTATGAGCAATGAGCGCTTGTTCATTTTAGTTAAATCTTTGAGGCACTTTTGCAACAATCAAATTTTAATTCAATGTCCGCCAATAAAATTGTAACCCCAAATCAAATGACAATGATATGGAGTAATTTACGAAATGCCGTAATGACGTCACCAATCTATTTCATCTGATTGGCAAGTGATTGAGAGAGTTTGACAGTATATGACGTGAGATTAAACCTTAGATCTTATAACGATGGCTGAACAACCATAGATACAAGACCAAAACCAAGACTGGACCCGGAAATACCAAGACTAAGACCAAGAGCAAGATCAAGACTAAAGGATTCTTTTCCGATCCGTACGATGTATAGTCGACTACACTTTGAATCTAATTAACTTAATTGAAAAGTGTAATACATTTCTGGTTTAATTTGATTGTTCAACTTGGATGAATCGTCCAAATTGTTCAACTAAATTGAACGGTGTATTTCCGCCTTTAGATAAAAATTGTATAAACAAGGACCGAAAAGCGCCAGGAAAATACATTATAACAAATGAACTTTTGAAGCATGGTGGTCCCGAGCTAGTAAAATATCTATAATTGTTATTTAACAAGATTCTTTAAACATCAAAAACTCCGTAAGAATGGCACAAAAGCGCCATAATTCCTATATTTA